TTTTGTCATACATCGCGATTTCGTGGCATTAGGGTTTTTACCCCTTTCACAAATCTCCGTATTTTTCTGTAAATCAATCAATAAGCGATTAGTAAAACACAGTAGCTAAGAAAGATCACTTGAAATTATAAAATAAATCTAAGAAATCGGAGAGGAGAAGTAGAAGAAGGTTGAGATTGAACAAGATGTGAGTTTCATCAGAGACCGTCGGAGAAGCGAAACACGATGGGAACGAAATCAAGGCTGGAGCGCGGTTTGCTCGTGGTGGCCAGACAACACATCGAGGCGGCTGATCGAGGAAGATGAAATATTTATAAAAGGAGATAAGATAGGATAGGGAGGTCATGTTTTGTGAAGAGGAAGACAAAAGTCAGTTGGACTTGGTAATGGTTTGGGCCGAAATTCAACCCTTAAGGCCCATTTTCTTGAGTTGATTTTTTGAAACTGAATCCACTTGTTATAAAAAGCTATCTAAACCTTTGTTGTTGGTGGGCCTAGCGCCCTACTATTGGCCACACACCTTTTTTTTTTTAATTTCACACTCCCTTTGTTTAGATTTTTATATTATTTTTCTTTCTAATTTCCTTTTCAAAATTTTTGTTAACAAAATTGGTAATAAGAGAATGACAAAAAATACCAAATATTTAGACTTAGGTTTTAATATTTTATTTTCATAAAAATCGTAAAAAAAACATTATTTTATTTTGTTTACTTGATAAAATATCACAAAAAATATATTTGCAATCAGTTTTAATTTTCTTTACTTAAAAATCATAAAAATATATTTAGAATTAGTTTTAATTTTCTTTTAATATTTTCTATACTTAAAAATCACCAAAATATATTTGGAATTAGTTTTAATTTTCTTTCAATATTTTCTTTACTTAAAAATCATAAAAATATATTTAGAATTAGTTTTCTCTTAATATTTTCTTTAATTAAAAAATCACAAAAAGATATATTTAGAATTAGATTTTTAGTTTTCTCTTAATATTTTATTTAATTAAAAATCACAAAAATTATATATTTAGAATTAGTTTGTTAATTTTCTTTTAATATTTTCTTTAATATAAAAATACAAAAAATATAATTACTCGTTTTTTTAACAAACTATTAAACTAAAAATTTTATTTAATATTATTAATTATTTTGAATAGTTAATTTTATTATTAAATAGATAGTTTAATTAGTTAGGTATTTAAATTAATTTTTAATTTGGTTGTATTGTTTGTTTAACTAGAATTTTAATTGAACTTTCAATTTGATTCATCCTCATTCATAAACTTGTACCCCTATCCCCATGTGGTTTGTAATAGCTTTAAATTATAGTTTCTTTGATATTTCTTTATATGTTTAAATTGCTAATTATGCATATTTTATCTAATTAGAACACTTGGCACTAGTGCAGAAATGACTTTTTACATCGGGTAAAATTGACTTTTTACATCGGTTTTGGATCCGATGTAAAGTCAGGTGATATAGTAAATCAGGGACTTTTTACATCGGTTCTGGGACCGATGTAAAAAGTCCCTTTTTTACATCGGTTATAATATCAGAACCGATGTAATAACCTGTTATTATGCACAGTTTTTAAAAAATTGATCCAGTTTTTTACATCGGTTGGAAGTAATACCCGATGTAAAAAGTTCCCAGTAACGCGACTTTTTACATCGGGTATTACTTCCAACCGATGTAAAAAGTCCCTTTTTGAAAGTTTTTACATCAGTTTTACTAATAACCGATGTAAAATGTATGAAATTTTTTTGGAATAGATTATTTATTTCCTGGGTTTCCCTATACAAATATAATTTGTACCCATTTTTTCATATTTTTCCAATATCAAACAGACTATATTTATGTCGCTATATAGATTTCATAGCTTTCCAACATCACATATATCACATTTAGGACGATGTTTTCATATTTTTCACAACAAACTTACAAATTGAACAATTGTATTGCAAACTTGTATTGTATTACAACATACAAACTTACAATTACAAATTCTTCACAAAATATAAAACAATATTCAACTATTTATAAGTCTTTTTCAAAACTTACAATTACATAATATTCACAAAATATACATATACTAAAATATTCAACTATTTCTAAGTTTCCAAACTTGAATTACCAATATAAAATCTTCGGTAGACAACACCAAAATCATATTGCCTGACAATAAATAATAACAATTAACATCAGCAAAAAAATCAAGAAACTCAACACATGAGCAACACATGAGAGATATAACATATTAATAGAGATTGACTTTAATAAAACAATAAAATTTACTTACGTGCACCAAATAATGTGTTGCTTTTTGAGGAGTAGGAGCATTTTCAGACACATCTTTTACTTCCTTCCATATATCCAATGCCAGATTCATAGTCTCTCGAACAACTTTGACCTGCAATAATCAAACACAGAACTGGTAAATTTAAAACCCAACTGGTTCATCCCCAGGTGGGGCATCCACAGTAGCCTGAAAAGATCATGGAATTTAAAACATGCTTCAGCAGAAAAAACCACATTGTTCCCGAATAGATCACGTTTTTAGGATGAAAAAACAAGGAATTACCTTGTACCATGTCAGTGCCTGGCCTTTTGGTGCTTCTGAAGTAGATGTCCATTTCGTATTATTCAACCCATCTACCAGGTGTAACCTTTGATGTTCTCCTTGTACTCCAATCTGAGAAAGGAAGAAACACTTGATCAAAGGACGAAGGTCGACAAAAGTCATTGTTCACATCTTATATTACAGTCAATTGTCTCTAAAAGATTGAGAAGGTAATAGGAGATCCAAATTTAAATCAATTTTAAGATGATAATGCAAGAGGAAAAGTACCTTGTAAGTCCACGCATTAGACGACAAGTCTATCGTCTTGTTGTTAAGTCCATTAATCTTTACAGTTGTTACTCCCGCCCCTACGAACTCGTAAAATGGTCCAGTTGTTACTTGAAAAATGTTTTAAACCTTCCTCAAGTGCTTTTAGCCTCACTTTTAGTTTTTCCTGAAGTAAACACCAAATAACATGTTGAAAGTTGATCAAGATGTTTGTTTACATAAAAGACTAATATGTCAGATATATATACCTTCTGTTGTGACTCCGCCTTAGCTCTTCTCTCTGATATAGCTAGCTTATCTTTCAACCGTTGCATCTCTGCCTACACGCGCAAAGACATAATGGATCAGAGAAATTTCATTTAGGATTTGTTTGGATTGACTTATTTAAACTTATCTATTAACATAAACACTTGTGAGATTGTTGGGAAGAATTTATAGAAATTCATACATACCTGCATAATTCTTTTCTCTTCTTTCCATTGCCTAAGAGGCATGACCTTATGACTTTCATCCTTCCACTCATTAGTCATGACATTTGCAATCCTATTAGCCGAAACTTTTACTCTTGCTAGTTCCCTATCCAGTGTTCTTTTCTCATCCTAAAAATTTATATGCAAAATCAAGTTACCACATAAGATCAACCAAATACACAGTCAATATATCCAACATTAAGTTCAGAAGAATGCTAATTACTTGCAATTCGGAAATCTGTCTTTGGTAATCGCGAACAATGTTAGCCGTTGCGCCCGTAGCAATGAAACTACTATCTATTGGAACATAATCTTCATTCTTTTGATTTGCATGTACCCTTCTAAGTGTTGCTTCTGCTGCATATTGTGCAGCCAATGCTTCTTTCTTTTCATCTCTCAGTTTCTTAATTTCTAGATTCTGCATAGCAATAAAATTTGAAAATAAAAACAAAAAGCATTTTAGGTTCTACCAACGTTGAATATAGCTTCTACTTCAAAGAAATAGTTAATATACCAAAATCAATGCACCTTTTGCTTAAGATGATCTTCTGTAACTCTAAATCTCTCATCAAGTTTACTAGCTTCATTTCTCAACTGGAATTGGCGAAAGAGGATTATAGCCGATATTAGTACCTCTATCGGATACTATGATTTTAAAGTGTAGTTCCAGTTGCGTACCAAAATATAGAACAATATTGAATAGTAAAAAAATCCATATTTTCTAAAGTACCTGTTCCATGGCCTTATCCTTGAGTGATTCAGTTGCCTTGAATACTTTGATTTCATTGTGGCAAGTTATTAGCTCCTTAACTTTTTCTGTAACAATGATTACACTAAGTCAATGAATGAAAACAAAAGCATGTTAATATGACATCATATATCTACTTTGAAAATAGTACCCTTTATGTATATTACATTATACAAATGAGCCTTTCAAGAAAGAAGGAAGGGAATATTATCAAATATTTATGGAGAGATGTTTGTGAATGAATCTAATTTTAATTCTAAGTTCTTCATAACAATCATACAGATATATGAACATAGTGAAATAGAAAAAGTTCCCATATTTCCACCAAAAGAAAACAAAAGCCAGAAAAAGTCTCAAACTAAAGCATTTTAAAATTATTAAAATCAACACAATCAAGTTCCAATATTATTGTGTTCTTAACCATTTTCTATCCTGAGACAAACCTTGTTGTATGCCACAGGTAATCAGTGGTATCTTTGTGAAACCATTTTCAGAATCACAAACACAGTGTGAAAATGGTTTTCTATCCTGAGACAAACCATTTTCAGAATCAATTCCCTTCAATTTTTTTACCCCATAATCAAACACAGTGTAAATTACCTTATCAAACCGTTTATTCTGCAACGAATCCATACACAGAACTTTATGCTACTCATCTCTATCAGTCACCAATAACCCTTCACTACAAATTACACGTGGCACAGACCCCCACGGTACTCAATCATACTGTCCACTATATGGAGTCACAACCATATTGAAAATGAAAATGAAGATTGATTTCAAATCCGCTATTCAACTCTGAAACTGAAACCCAAAACGGCGATAGAAAAAATGTTACAGAACAACTGAGGGTGGAATACTTTCCGTTGCGAATCGTTCATCTTTCAATCTCAACCCTTCGTTTTATCGCTCGTCAATTCAACATCAGCCGTGGATGGGACAAGCAGCTTCCACTGCCGCCGTCGTCAACCGTCGGGAAAGACACACCAACACCGCGAAAACCACTAGATCCACCTCCTTGGTTTCTCCGATGAACGCTACCGGAGAAGACGATGAAGATATTATAGATCCGGTTAACCGTGGAATCTCCGATTATATATCAGATCTACCAGATGAGTGTTTAGCGATTGTGTTTCAGTCGTTGAGCCCCGGTGACCGGAATCAGTGTTCGCTCGTTTGCCGGCGGTGGTTGACTGTTGAAGGACAGAGTCGGCAGCGGTTGTCGTTGAACGCGAAGCTGGATCTGCTTCCGATGATTTCGTCTCTCTTCAATCGATTCGATTCGGTGACGAAACTTGCTTTGAAATGCGATCTAATAGGTTGTTTTTTTTTTTTAAATACTTCTCAGGCTATTACATCGGTGGAAACTTCCACCGATTTAATAGGTTGTTTTTTTTTTTTTTTTTAAATACTTGTTAGGCTATTACATCGGTGGAAACTCCAACCGATGTAATAGGTTGCTTTTTTTTTTTAAATACGTGTTGGGCTATTACATCGGTGGAGAGTCCGAACCGATGTAATAGCTTACTTTTTTTTTTTTAACCCACGTTTTTATGATTTATCAATATATTTTATATATTAATTCAAGCACATTTTTTACATCGGTTTTTATTTAAACCGATGTAATATATTGCTTATATTTTTTTTAACTTTTTTGTCACCTTGTTTCTTATTTACAAAAATGCCACCGTGTTTTTTTCTGGAAATCTTTTACATCGGTGGATGAGATTGCCCGATGTAATAGGTGACGAAAAAAATTTTTCCCTTATTTTTTATATCATTGGAAATAAATACCTGATGTAAAAAGTTTGTTAACTGTATTTTTTACATCACCTATTTTGATACCCGATGTAAAAACCTTTTCTCAAATGTCTTTTTTTTAGTAGTGTGGCCTCCTCTTGGGCTCATCATTAATGAAAAGGTATCCACTTACAAATGCACACTTGCACACATTTCATAAATTGGTCATGGGCTTTTCTACAGTGACAACTACTTGATCAATTATTCCAATGGGTCGTTTAGAATACTAGTCTCACGCTAGTCCCACTCTCTAGGAGAATTCATATAGCCACCTTGTATGGGCTTTTGATTTTCATCTTATACATTGAGGTAACTCTCTTTTCTCTCTTTGGTTTACATACCAAGCATCTTCGTAAAGGGTCTCATAGTTGAGTTTGGGCATGGCCATTCTCACGAGGTTAATCAAGTATTGCCCTTGGCTAACCATAACTCGAATCAACCACTTTGGTCCATATAACAAGTGTTTCCATGCACAAAGGGTCTCATGGTTGAGGGTAGGAGCACCTACTCTCACGAGATTAATAAAGTGAACCCCTTGGTTAATCATAACCCGATTCAATTCCCATACACCAAGCATTCCATTTACGCCATTCATGATACTACTCGTTGGGTTGTTGTAGCGGTGAAAATCGGAGATCAAGCTATTAATTAACTTGACTCGCAAAAAGAAAGAGTCGCCACCGCGCTTTATTATTTCCAAGGGAAAAGGGAAAAGAGCGAAATAAAACCCTAAAATATGCAATGTAAAGTAATATTTAAAAGTAATGAAAATACGATGCACTTTTGAAAGAGATTGAGAGTTCGGGGGTTGGTTATACAATGGGAAGGTATTAGCACCTAATGCATCTGCGGTACTCCGCAGGAACCTTTTGAAATATCTGTTTTTGGTTAAAATTGTTTGTTTGATTAAATTGGTTCGTTTGGCTAAAAATCGGTGTTGGAGAGATTTTGAAGATACGACAACCTAGTGTGGAAGTTTTGACTTAAAAGGTGTGAGTTTGAAAATGGAGCCTTTTGGGAAAATTATCTTGAGTTTAGCAAAATAGTAAACAAACAAAAAAATGAAAAAAAAGGGTATTCGCACGATCGGATGAGATGTATTTGATGACGTGAAGTCAACAAATTTAAATCTTTCCCTTGGAGTTAAAACCATAGACGGATAAATAAGCTAAGAGTATATCAAACCTTAGGTGAAAATAAATCACAAGCCGACAGCATCATCAAAAAACCTAATGTGAGATAATACTCCAAGCATCAGATAAAGCGCAAAGGCGGTGGATAAAGCTCACAGTGTCAGATAAGAATCCCTGCATCACAAGAGACATATCGACAAAATCTGACAGCACGGGAAACTTATGTGCGTCCGCACAATTTTCAGAAGTTAGTTGGAATTAAAAATAAAATCATAATGCGAATAAAAATAATATTTTCAAAACCTGAATTTATTTACAAGTAAAATATACAGTCAAAATATTATGTACAAGTATGTATTTACAGTACCAAATATTAAATCAAAATAGTAAGGTAAAAAGGGAATAAAGAAAAATTATAAATGCGCTACGCGGGAACGAACGCTTGAAATTGTTCTCGAAAACCTTCACAGTAAGCAAATTTGTTAGTAGCATAAGCGGTATACAAATTAAAATGAAACGAAATTGCAACAATTAAAATATGTGTTAGTGAGTATAAAATCAAAAATAAAATTGTATGAATACACGTGAATGAATGAATATTTACACAAATCAAAATCAAGAATTCATGAAATTATTCAATTCAAAATCGAACACGGAAAATTGATTCCAATTCAAGAATTATTCAATTAAACCAAATTTTGGACAACCACTATATCTATGCATTAAACTCCATAGTTCCAATTGAAAAAAATTCTAAACTAATGAGGAACAAATTAATTATTAAAACTAAATTTAAATTCTCCAAAATTGACAAAAAAAAACTAAAAATGTCAACAATACCCATTTTAACACAATTGTTTCAAAAACTCTACAATTCAACTAAAAGAAACACATCACATTAATTTCAATTCAAAATATTAATTAGAAAGGAAAATGAGTCTAAAAAAAAGTGTTGTTGCTATTTGAAATTGAAATAGGGCAACAGAGGAAATTGACAAAACATTGCTACTGTTATTTACGTTGACCAAGCCTTTCCATTACCACTACGACATGTTCTGCATTTCAATTTAAAAAAAATCACCAAAGTTTCTATTTCACAATCAAAGTTCCAATTACAATCAATAATCATCATCATGTTATCAATTAAATTAGCAACCTAAAACTAGCATCTCAAATTCAATAATTATAAACAAAACCAATTTAACCAAAAACGAAACAAACATATCACTCGAAATTGAATTAACAGCACAACACTATTCCTCTCATTATTCAATCCAAACAAACCTTTAACCATTTCAAACTGCAGGAAAAAAAAGAAAACTAGAGAAGAAAGTACCGAACCGTGTCGAAAACGAAAGTTACTAGCCAAAGTCGTTGACGGTAGCGGATGCGCACAGACAGAGGGAGGTTTCAACTGGAAATTGCGAGGCAAGCAGCGGAGGAAGAAGCTGCGATATCAGCCGAGGTAGTAGTGGTGATGCGGATGAAGGTGGACTGTAGGCGCTGCAATTGAACAAAGGTCAGCGGTTTTGGTTTGTGATGGAAGGCGGAAATGGTGGTGGTATTGTTCGTGCAGAGAGGGTGTTGAAACCATTTTGGTCTTTTTGAACCACTGGTGGTGGCTGTCACGGTGGTGCTTCCATTTCCGGAGTTGCTCTTTTGAAACACACGTGATATCACCCATTCATCCTTGGAGTTTCTAGAGAGGAAATGGTAAGCAAATTTGCCTTCAAGACGATATTCATGCATAACCCAGTTACTCTTTTCACCTTTGGGTGCTCTTCCTCTGTAGAAAACAAGGGTTTTTTCATTCCAACGAGAGAGTAGGTTTTGGAGCTGCTGAGGTGTTGCCTGTTGTGGATGCCGATTTGAAAAGAACTGTTGTGTTGGTTATTGAAAGAGCTAAGGAAATCAAAAGAATGATGATCAAGAGTAGATGGGAACATCAGTCCAAGCACCAGAAACATGACCATTATCACAAACATAAGCCCTAACAACAGGCTCCCCATCATCATGAAAGCCAAACCCTCTCTTCAAACAAAACGCAGAATAAAGATCCCAAGTATGATTACAAGACCAAAAAGCACAAGGCAAATCAATCTTCTTCCTGTTACTACAATCATTCACCGTCTTCCAAACATGCGTCCTCTTGAAATTCATAAACACCCCTCTGAAAAGCCTATACTTTCTCTTCTCCTCCAAATGAACACAACCAGGCCAATCACAAACATATAAACAATCATCACGGTACTGTCTCCCAAGTAGCTTATTCCCTTGTTCTCTACTCAGCGTCCATTTTCCTGTCGCCAAGTGCGAACTCAATGAACCAGTAACCTTTCTTTTCTTAGATTCAACCGGAACATCAACAACTCCAGCTCGAATCTCTTCATGGGTAGATTCTTCTTGATGTAATTCAGAATCTGCATAGAGGGTATCATGATAAAGATCGTCGTAAAGTGACCAAATGGAAGAACATTCATTAGGTTCATTAGGTCGAGAAGACGAAGATGTTGTCGGTATTGGCACTGTTGCTGTGATGGTGGTGTGTGGCACTGGGTTGTGGCTTGAGAAGATTGAAGGGGCTCTCACTGGAATGGGTTGAGAGGAAGGAGGATGGTGTTACGGTTCACATGGAGAGGGAAAGGTAATATTGGTGGATACGTTTTGTGTGAATATGAAGCGGAATGTGAGAGGATGTTGGGGTGAAATGAAGGGAGTATGTGATGGATGGAAGGTAAGGTTTGTACAATAGGTGGGGGGAATTGAAGGAGAAGTTGGGAAAGGGGTAGGGCGAGTGATTGATGAAGGAAGGGGTAGAGAAAAGGAAAGGAAGAGATATTACTACTGTTAGTTTTTTGTTTTGTTGTTATTTGTTTTATGGAGTAAAGAAAGGGATAAGTGGTAGTATTACTACTGTTATCTTTTTTTTGGTGTCCTGTTCCAAAGAGTGAAATAAGCTTTATATAGGAAAATGAAAAACAAAATTTGATTTCAAAATTAATCACAACCGTTCAATATAAATTCAATCTCTATCAATCCGCAAACCATGCTATCGACCAATGAGAATTAAGTGAAACCTAATTAATATTTTTTGTGACCGAAAAGTCCATGAATGACCAAAAATAAAATAAAATCCTGAAACTATATAAAAAAATAAATCAATTTAAAATAATTTTTTTGAAATTTTTCTGAATTAAAAATAAAGACACAAAATGACCTAAAACGATAAAAAACGGACGGAAATTTATCCGATAAAATAAAATGAACATATTAAAATAAACTACATGTCACGAAGATTAAAGAAAAAAAAATATTCAAGATGTCAAAAAATCAAAAATAAAATAATAATAAAAATATCAGACTAAACAGACGTTTAAGGTTAAAAACGAGACTTCGAACCGTACCGAAAAAATAAAGCGAGCATACCGTCATAATCTACGCGAAACGCAGATTCATAAAATGATCGGTAAAAGGTGAAAACTTGAAATATTTTCTCGTTAATTTCCCGCATAGTGTCGAATCGCTTTTAACAGTCTGTCTATAAAACCAAAATATTTTTATTATTGACATATAAACAATCTTGGAGC